CATGCCTGCTGCAGCCATGTTAAACATGACTAAAATGATAAACCCCAGAATATACTAATAGTAAACTTTGCTCTGACATCAAAGTAATGAGGCTGTATTTTTACCCAGCTTTAGAAATGTTAAAATTAGTCCTGACAGAGCCAGACATCAGAAAAGTGTTTCAGACATAAACACCATCAATTTAGGAACTTGGTGTTTGTGCCATGGAGGAGAGGGGCGGCGAGGGAAAGTTACAACCTGGGACTCGCTAACAACAGGCAGTAAGCACTTTTTAGGACTTTTATTTAATTTTTGGTTTAGAGTCAGAAGCGAAACCCTCCCCCCAATATCTCAACATTTTTTTAAAATGACATTATTTATATTATAACAGCCTCTGTAGGCATCAGCTGAGGTTGGGGCCCCACTGTGCTAGGTACTGGCCATACACATAGTAAAAGAGATAGTCCCTGTGCCCTTGAAAGCAAAGAGACAAATCTGCTCTTGGATATACGAGTGGAACTCCATAAGCCAAGTGCAGAGTTTGCTCTTTGCCCTGAAATGCAATACAGACTACATTTTGCAGAAGTGTTCTCTAAATGTGGGTGTTTTAAGTTGTGCTTCCCAAATTTCAGGCACTGAAAAAAATCACAGACCACTTTTGCAAAACTGGCTGCATATAACTCGTAAATATCACCATTAATAACCCCGGCTCCCCACCAAACACACACTTATTGAAATTGAAAATCATTTGCCAGAATGATTTATGGAAAAAACTGAACATTAGGAGAGTCTTCCCTGATGTCATTTCTGCAAGCTCAATTTCTGAGTAGCTGATCAATGAATTACTATATTAAAAAAAAAGGCAAAGAAGAACTCTAAAGTGTCAGCTTTAGGAGACTAAAATATGAGATGCAGATTGTTAATCTGAAAGAACTATTCTACTCTGACAGCATCAACAATGCCAATCTTTTTTTCTACAACCATAACTTAATCTGTTTAAGGCCACAGACAACACTTGGGACAAATATTCAGAATAAGTGAAGTAGAAATGGCGATTGGACAAGTTACAAAAATACAGTAAAGCAATGAGGGTTCTTAAATCAGTTTGTTAATATATTTGGTTTATTGCTTCATTTTATTGGATCTTAGTTAAAAGTAAACCCTCGTGATTCTATGCCGATTTTACAAGGGAAAAAAGCTATGATCAGAGAAACATGGTGCAGTAGCGTTTGATCTAATACAACAATGACTCAGTAGAATCGGAAAGAACAGGAAGTGTATTGTAGAATATACTTGTTTGGTTCTGGAGAAGACATTTTTGAGTTGTAATGCTAGCAGTGCCTTGTTGCTGCTTTATGACATGCTAATATGAAGAATATAACCCATATAGCACCTAGGAGCTATCAAATAAAATAGTAATAAAATAAAATAATAATAATAATAATAATGTAATCAATTCCATCACAAGTTTATTCTGGATGAGACAGAAACATGTAATAACCTCAACACAGGTCTGGAAGCCAAAAACTCCCAAATTTCAAGCCTGCTCTAACATTGACACATGCACCAGCCTACTCCCCCTCCCCTCTCCACCAACATGGCCTTATGCAACTTATTTAACCTACTTACTTCCATTTTCCCTCTTTTGTAAAATGGGAGTATAAAATAAACACCAACCTTACATTCCTCTGAGTAATGAGTCAATGTCTGTTAAGAGCTTTGAGGATGAAAATTGCTATATAAGTGCTAATATTATTATGTAGACATAAGAAGTCAATGTGTATCCTTTCAGTGATGAACTGCTAATCCATAGCTTACACTTAGCTACTTTTGCAACATATCTAAAGCATTCTGATTCATTTCACATATATATATGTGCACGTGCGCACACAAACAGACACACACAAACAGACACACTTCCCCAATCTTTTGGGGAGCTTTTCCATTTCAGAAGCACTAATTTCATTCTAATCAGATTTCAAAGAAAGGCCTTCAAAAAAAGAAAAACAACAGTCATATTCTTTGTAAATTTCATTGGCAAATTTCTGGAGTATACTTTACTGCTAGCCACGTTAGATAATTTATTAACTTTTCTTCTCACAGTATGATATAGATTTTGCTCTTTACATCTCATTACACAATGCTTTCATCACACTTCTCCTGACATCTTCAAACAATCTTCTTCTTCCTTTTCCACTTCATTTTAATAAGATGAGAAAAGTTGAGCTTGTAAATCATTCATTCCAGAGTAGATAGCACGGTGATAATATGAAACATGTCATATGCATAAAAAGAATCAAGTCTCCAGTATGAGACTAAAAGGGTCAAGAACATCAAGTCTTGGGGCCAGATTCTAATCTCAGTACACCTGTGTAAATCTGGAGTAACTCCAGATTTAGGTCCCAATTTGGGACAGCATCCCTGTTCAGAATAGCACCCAAGCATGTGCTGAACTTTAGCACATGCTTAAGTCTCATTCACATGAATGGGACTTTAGAGTGTGCCAAAGTTAAGAATGTGTTTAGTTGCTGTTTTGAACAGGGATGGTCATAAGCAGATGCTTGAATCCTAACTCATGACCTTATGCTAGTTTAACAGAGGTCACCTCTTGATGGCAGATTTCCAAGAGTCATGTAATTTCTGTCCCTAATTTAATCAATTCTGCAAATTTTCCATTCTGCAAATGTAATAAGTTAAAGTTAACAAAAAAACTAGATCCAAATTCATGCAAAAATTTGGATTTGGCTCCAGAACCTAATTTCACAGCTGAGGCCCATCTCCAAAGTAATACCTTGGTAAAAGGTTTTCAGGGGGTTTTAACAGACATTTCCTTTATTGAAAAGATTTATATAACAGGTGAACAGCTCCAATGTCTTATATTCCAAGAGCTGTTTCCTTTGTCTGTACTTGGGAAGGTTTCACAGAAAATACTAGTATGTTTCTTAGACCTAGTCAGAGTTTTGGAAAGAATCTATGGGTAAAAAACAGATACACACAACTTGTACTGGAAAGGAGTGGGGTCATGGTTCTGCCAACTGAAAACAAGACTAAGTTACCTAGTGATGCAGGAAGCAGAGAAACCTATAGAATAATTTTACGGCCGTCTTGAGATGAGAAACTACTATGTATTTAAGGAAGGGGAGGAGAGGGATTCATTTTGAGGTAGAATCTGCCTAGCAATAAGGTATATTTTTAAGAGAGAAAAAAGAAACCTAAAAAGTTTATACAGCTGGGGATGCCACTTGTCACATTCCAAATTGGAGAGTCCCTTCTAAATTTGTCTCTCTGTGCCCTACTGAGAGAGGCCTTTCTGTCCCTGTCCTCAAAAAGAACAGTGGGATGTCCACCCAACTTTCGTACCATCCCTAGCCTTCCTCTTCTGCACCAGCTACCAGAAAATATCAGCAAGCTCAAAACTAGCTTCCCATACTGAAGTTCAGAGCTGGGATACATGAAGTCATTCAGAGATAGATGCAGTTCAACTGACTTGACAAAAAGGAGATACGGTACTACAGGGTTTGTTTTAAGGGATTTTGTTCCTATTAGGCACTGTACCATTTCCTTAATAGATCTTAACTCTGAAGATCACTTCTAGTGTTGGCTCCCACATTTAATTTGGGGTCCAAATATTGACTGTGAAAACACAGAACTGGATATCATGAGGCCCTACCACAGTATTGACATACATCTCCAAAGAGGAGACAAATTTGCCACATCCCACAGAGGTGTGTGGATGGTCCTGCCCACCAAAACCTCAAGCCCCAGTCTTGTTAGAGTAACAGAGCCCTCTGAAAATTGTCACCATACCAAAAGGTTATTCGCTTCTATAAATCCAAGTGCTGCCCTTTCCAGGCCTACTGGGACCTGGAGGCAGCTCGTCTCCATGCTACAAGTGAGAGTCTCCTTGAGCTGAAGACCCCACTCAAAGAGGTTCCACTCCTTTTACCTCCATCCTTAACAACGGACAGCTGACTGACAGCTTGCACTCAGCCTTCCCATGTAGCAGGACTTCCCCCCCAACCCCTTTGATTTGGGAAGGAGTGATTAACACTTTTTCCCCATGCTGGGGAGTAGGGGCGGGAAAGGGAGCAAGGTATGTACATTCCATGTCAATCTTAACTTGCTGCTTCCATGATCAACATTTGAAGGTCTGATCCTGCTTCCACTGGACTCTGTGAGAGTTTTGCCATTGACTTCAATGGCAACAGGATCAAACCCTTAGCATTTTCACTAAGTGGAGGAAAGGAAATCAAATTCTGGATTATCCCTGATGTAACAGAAATATTGAGAAACTAGAGAAGTTTCTTTAGTTGTATGTCCTCTTGCACTCTTGAATTTAGAGTGGAGTATCAGCAGTGACAACCAGAAATGAGATAGTAATCTTTTTAGCTCATTAGAAAAAAAAAATCAAAGCAGATGCAAGAAATATAGATCTTCTACCACAATGATGATAACACAAAATGCACTCAGCTCTACCAAACCTAGTAAGGAACATTTTAATTTCCATGTGGCTAAGTGTTACACAAAATGCTGCATATATCAAATGAAACCAGGCATCAGTGAGATCAGTGACTCAAAATTTTCTAATGATTATATTTAATTCAGATTTAGTTTAACAAGAATGGAGTCCTCCCGTCTTCTGACCCCCAAGTCTGATTTGGTCACGTGTCATGCAGAGTCATCATGCATCCGATGAAGTGAGCTGTAGCTCACGAAAGCTTATGCTCAAATAAATGTGTTAGTCTCTAAGGTGCCACAAGTCCTCCTTTTCTTTTTGCAAATACAGACGAACACGGCTACCACTCTGAAACCCATCATGCTACAATAACCTGTTGACTGCTACACCATGACACAGAGACTGCCAGCTGTCAGCTTACAGTTCTGGTGAGACCTTCGAAGGCCAGGAATCCCAATGAACTCAGCATATTCACATGAGAACATATGCCACCATTCTTATTAAATTCTAACAGTCTAATGAAAAACACTCCTGCTGTTTTCAAAGTGTGGAAAACATAAAGTACCTCCTTGTGCTGCTGCTGCTAAGGGAGCAGGTTTCTTCCCCATTTCAGGAAAGCCATTCCCCTCCAGAATTGCACCTTTCCCTTCTTTTTTCCCAGCAGCAGTTGAAGCGGAAGTTTCCATCTTAGATGCGCATATTCCAGCTCAGGAACCCTAAGGAACACAAAACAAAAACACATTTCTGTCACTTCTTGAACAAAAGAAGCAAAATGAGCCCCATGAGGGAGAGGCCAATATATCATCACAATCCAAAAGTAAATTAAAAAAAACAACAAAGATCTCCTAAGTTTCTTTCCCTAGCAGCCTGGCTGCTATAATTATAACCAGAAAGGGCTTGGCTCTGCAAAGCGTGGAGTGCTCTCAATTCCCATTGATGTCATGGGAGTTGAAGAGGCTCAGGACCTCAAAGGATCAGGCCCATTTTTTTAATTAAAAGTTTTGACTGGATTTTATTTTGTGGGTTATTATACAACCAATCCACAGAGGGGATTGCATTCCTCCAACAAACAGAGAGAAAAACTGACAGTGGGAAGAAAAGGAATGGAGTCGAATGTGAAGGAGAGATGGAAGTTTTGACTGAATGAGCAGCATGTAAAGTGGTAGTGACATACAGAGGTTTAGTGCGTATAAAAAGGAATAATTGATTATACATGTTGAGCAACAAGCTGTCATAATAAAACTTCAAGTGGGGGCCAGAAATTTTCAAGAATTTGCAGTTTCTATGTAGAGAAGAAAAGGAGTACTTGTGGCACCTTAGAGACTAACCAATTTATTTGAGCATGAGCTTTCGTGAGCCACAGCTCACTTCATCAGCTGTGGCTCATGAAAGCTCATGCTCAAATAAATTGGTTAGTCTCTAAGGTGCCACAAGTACTCCTTTTCTTTTTGCGAATACAGACTAACACGGCTGTTCCTCTGAAATATGTAGAGAAGCTAATTTAAGGTGAACATTTGTGCTCAATTACTCCCCACCTCCACACCATTTTTCAACCCACTTGAATGATAATAAACAATAGGTACTTAACACCCTATGCAACACTCAGGCAAAACTTCCATTGAGTCTTGTCTGTTCAATTCAGGTTCTTATTTCATGCCCAAAGTCATATCTGATAATCAAATTTTTGCCTGAGTTAAGGAGTGCCGAATTATGCAACCTAAGCTGCATCTTAAAGCGCAGGATATCATAGCACAAGTGTATCTTTATTCATATCTGTAAGACACCCCCCGCCCCCATCCTCCCAAAACACTGGTTCTGCGTGAGAAAGAAAGACTAATCCAATACAATCCTAAAGTGGGTTTCCCCTAGAGGCCCCACCACATTTTCATTTCTGGTCCTCGTCCACATTAGTATAGCTGAAGGCTTCCTAGCTTTATTTGAGATGTCAGTTTAGTTCCTACTTTGGGAAAGGTGGAGGTGGGAGATACTGAAACCATTTGGGGTCTTGAGAGAAATCACAGCAAGATCCCACTCCCTCTTCCATTTTTAATTATAGTTTGTGTAAATTATCCAGCCTCAAAAATTTGCTGGAATACACAGGGCTGCTTCAGTTACAGGAATTAACTGGATCAGCCAAAAAACTTCTCGGAAAGAGTGAGAGAACTTTTGGGTTGGAGTCAGTTTCACTGTAACAGCATCACTTCAGATTTTCCTCACTTTACATTGTGAATAAAGATTTACAGAGTCCTGAACAGCTTTGATTAAAGAAAGTCCACATGCCTTGCAAACTTTTCTCCATATAAAGATTCTGGGAACTCCCATTTGTTTTGTCTGATACATTTTACTCTTTCCTTGGCTGAACCCAGATGTGAGCTCTTTTTTCCCCTTGCCACCTTGATGATTTTTTTTTTATTTTAATGTTTTTATATCTTTAAAAAAATAAAGAAAAAAATGTCTCTCTCCTCTTGGATTAGTTTACTGTATTATAATGATTCTTATTGTTTGTATCGTTGTAGCACCTTGGAGCTTCAGTCATGGACCTCGACCCCATTGGGCTTATTGCTAGTGCTTTTTTCACTAAGCTGCTTTCTGAGGCTTTGTCTACGCTAGCATTTTTGTCGGTCAAGCTTTTGTTGGTCGGGGTGTGAAAAAACACCCCCTGACCAACATAAGTTTTACCGACAAAAGCACCGGTGTGGACAGCACTGTGTCGGCGGGAGACGCTGACATAGCTACTGCTGCTTGTTGGAGTGGTTTAATTATGCTTGTGAGAGAGCTCTTTCCCATTGGCACACAGCGGCTACACAGGAGACCTTACAGCAGCGCAGCTGCAGATGTACAGGTGTAAGGTATGTAGTGTAGACATAGCCTAAGGCCCTGCTTCAGTGAAGCATCCCTAATTCAGAAAGGGCACTTAAGTACGTGGTTAACGATAATACTCACTTAAGTCCCATTGAAGTCACTGACTGGGACATAAGCAGTTGTTGAAGGTTATCCTCATACTTAAGCATTGAAAAGGACTGGAATGCTTTCTGAATCAGGACCTAAATAAAGGGCTTTGCAAAGACCCAGGGTGTCCACACTACAATTGCTGCTGCAGGTATGCGAATGCAGTATAGACACATACTGTAATGACAGAAGGGGTTTTTTTCTCGCTGCAATAAATCCAACTCCCAGTAGCTAGGTAAGAATTCTTTCATCAACCTAGTCGTATCAACAGTGGGATTAGGGCATGAAACTTTTCACAGCCCTGAGCAACCAGGCTACGTTGACCTAAGTTTGAAGTGTAAACCAGACCCCAGTCAGCAGCATGAATAAGCCATTTCCCCCCTGGTATTGGTAATATTATGAGAAACCAAACAAACTGATTTAGTCTGACTGGTGTTTTTAAAGAGACAAGGGGGATGAGTGAATATCTTTTATTGGACCAACTTCTGTTGGTGACAGAGACAAGCTCTTCAGCTCTGTGTAAGCTCGAGAGCTTGTCTCTCTCACCAACAGAAGTTGGTCCAATAAAAGATATTACGTCACCCACTTTGTCTCTCTAATATTCTGGGACCAACATGGCTATAACAACACTGCCTACAACAATGGCTTTTTTTAAAGTCAGTGGTGTTCAGTGCAAAATACTAAGATGACAAGACTTGGCAATCTTTCCGGCTTAATCAGCAGAAAGCAAAAATAAACAAACTCTTGAGTGATCAGAGAACTGACTCCTCAGTATCAGTTTCTAAACAATCAGCAAGGCTTCAGAGGGCAAGTTACATAGAGCACAGAAAAAAGCTGTAAGTCCTATCTTGCCTCTCTTAGCGCCACAATGCAGAATCTCGCCCACAGTCGTTATTTTTAAAAATAAAACCATCTCTTCAGCTTTCCACATGGTCCTCTTCTCCCTCTACTGTTCTCCCAAGCTCTGTAGCAGTAGCCTCCTTTCTGTCCCCCCTGCTGGTGCAAGAGCCTTCGCCTCTGCAGTTCCTGACTTCTGGAAGAGCTGTCCTGTATTTCTCTGCCTCCTCCATTCTCCATATACATTAAAGTGTCAGGGGAAAAAAGCACTTTTCTCCCTTCCCTCTACATTTCTTTCATTTTCCTCTTGCTGTTTAAGGTGCCAGTTCTGCAAACACTTGTTCACGTGCTTGAAATGTGATACACAATTATAAGCTTGACTGATCCCATCTGAACTGCACAAGTACCTATGCAGCACTAAGTAGGCCCCTTAAGTCCTGCTGTCCACGCACACACTGGGCTCAACGGCAAACATGGAATGGGTTCATTGGGGCCAAGCTTTACAACAATTTAATCTAGAAATTACTTTGGGTTACAGATGATGTATGAAATAAATACACTCAATCGAAGGAGTGTTTGACCTAGGTCTGACATTCTGGGCTTCTGTTCGCTAAGCAAATAAACATCAGAGGCTAAATTATTAGTCTGCCACCTGTGTCTTCTTAGTCCCTCCTTTCAAGGTTTTCCACTTTTGTTTGGTTTCAGAGTAACAGCCGTGTTAGTCTGTATTCGCAAAAAGAAAAGGAGTACTTGTGGCACCTTAGAGACTTATGCTCAAATAAATTGGTTAGTCTCTAAGGTGCCACAAGTACTCGTTTTCTTTTTGCCACTTTTGTTTGAAACCTGACCCCTCCCCTTCCCTCAGGGCTTACTGTGTCCACTGAGCTGCAAAGTTGCTCTGTGTTTTGGCTGTTACATACTATCATGCTTAGTAAAAAATAATTCTTCTTGCAAAGGAACTCATTTCCATCGTGGATGTGCAGATTATGGCCAACATTTTCCAACTTGGGTGCCTAAAGTAAGTAATCTAGATCCATATTTTAGGCATCTAAATAAGTGGCCTGCTTTTCCGTAGTGTTATACCCACAACTCAAATCAACAGAAGATGTAGGAGTCTTGAGCAACTTTTACGTAGGTGCCTAAAGATTTAGAGGCCTAATTTTAGGCACATGGGATTGAAAATTATGTCTAGAAGGACCAATTTTCAAAAGCATCTAAGGGTTATAGAAGCACAAGTCCTGTTGGCTTTCAATGAGACTTGTGCTCATAAATGCATTTGGTGCTTTTGTAATTTCAGTCGGTATCGATAAGGTAATTAGTCCCTAACAAGAATATTTCTGTGCTCTGGAAGTGCAATAAAGCTAATAGTGAAGAATATTTCTGCTTTTAGGCTCTCTGCTTCAGTTCCAGTGCAATTCTTGTGTCTTGCAAATCTAGACACTTCAGGCTAAATTTTCAACAGTGACTAGTAATTTGGGGTGCCTCGGGAGTGGGATGCCCAGCCAGAAAGACTGTGAAGTGGCCTGCTTTTCAGAAAGTGCTAAGGGCCAGAATTGTAAAGGTATTTAAACATCTAACTCCCGTTTAAATCAATGGGAGTTAGGGACTAAACTGTCCTACAAATCTGGCTCTAAGTGTCGACTCTGCAAACCAGGCCTCTTTAAAAGGTATCTAAATTTGGGCACCCCAAAAATGGAGGCCTCCAATATCACTGGTTGCTTTCGAAAATATGGCCCTCAGTTACTGCTCTGTGTATTTGAATCTCTGTTTTTACGTTAAATATGAATGAAAAAGATCACCAAGTGATTATCATAAATGGTTGCATTAGAATAGGTAAATCCTTCTCAAGCACGAGATTAGAAAAAAATAGAATGCAACGACTCTAATCTTATAGGATTTAAGAGATTTAGTGGAAATAAGTCTATAATTA